TGCGGCCGGGGCCCGGCAGGAGTTCGCGCCTTGCGGCCGCCAGCACTGCCAGCGCCACCCGCACGCCCTGAGCCTGCAGCTGCGGCGCCTGCAGCCCGCCTCCGAGCTGGGCGCCTCCGACGGCGCCGCCGGCCTCGTGGGCTCCCTGCAGGAGGTCACCATCCACGAGAAGCGCAGGGTAACCCGGCTATACAGCTACCTCCATCCTTATATAAATATATATATATGGGGGCAGCGGTGGGGGCGTCGGGTTGTATTGGCGGCCGGGGGGAACGTGGAGCTGCTGTCCCCTTCATGCAGGATCGCGAGGGGACCCGCTGAAAGTAGCAAGCAATCAGTTTAGAGCAAGTGCTGGGAAATTGCCTTAAACATGTTCCTGTACAAACGTGCACAAAAAGAGAGCGCCGGCAGGTACAAAAGGTTGGAGGCAGCGCTGTGCAATGCAGGACAGGGTTGGACAGCAGGTCCACAAGCAGCCCCTGAGGACACCAGGCAGGGAACAAGCCCCCGAGCCCACCTTGTCCATCACCATCCAAGTGGTTATGGATAGCAGAGGAATAGAAGTGGAAAAGAAGCAGCAAGAAGTGCCCAGGCTCAGGCACTTACCCTAAATAGCATTTCCTGCTGCTGCAGGTGATGGGTTCATGGACCATCCATCTGAACCCATCATGTGTTGCTTGCGGTCAGTCTTGTTTTCCTGGGAAATAGCAGGCTGCTAGTGACAAAAAGGGTGGCCTGAAGGGTATTCCTTGCGTTCTGCTCTGGAGGCAGCATTCCTTGTCTCTTGCGTTATGTTAAATTACTTATTTTTTCTGGTTGTGGAACCTTCTTCTGACTAATGGGCCTCTTTGGCCCCCAAGGGGAAAAGATCAGAAGTGCAAACCAAGGCTTATTCTGCTTTTCTCTTGCTTCCAAAAACCTTAATTTGGTTTGGTCAATTTATTTTAAAAGTATTCACTTATAAACACTCATTGAGAAACGATCACCAACCAGAATAATGTTTCTTACTAGATTTTTTTTTTCCTATTATTTTCTTAAAACTTTGTTTTGTTTTCCAGGAGAGTTGGCAGTTGAGGAAAGGTATCAGCGCTGTTGGGGAAGAAGTGGACTATGATGAAGAGCTGTATGTGGCTGGCAACATGGTCATTTGGAGCAAAGGAAGTAAAAACCAAGCTTCTACTGTTTATAAGGCTTTCACTGTTGACAGCCCTGTCCTACAGGTACGAAAATGCAGGGAGGTAGCAACTGAATGAATGCAAGTTAGCTAGGAGATACTAGCTGTCTGTTTTCAAAAGGTGCTTCAGGGTTCTAAGGTGTGTTGTGTTCTGAGATCTAATTCAGTAGTGACCTCGACTGTTCTTCATGTGTTGTGTTGTGTTTGGCTTTAGGCCTTATGGTGCTTTCAGGGTTCTAAGGGGTGTTGTTTTATGAGATCTAATTCAGTAGTGACCTCAGACTGTTCTTCATGTGTTGTATTGTGTTTGGCTTTAGGCCTTATGGTGCGACTTCACTATACCCCAGGAAAAATCTGAAAAATATGAAAAATCTGAAGGTAAGTTTTACACTTATTTTACCTGAGAAGTACTTTGAGTTTAGCTTGCTTGGCTGAGAAGTTTAGTCATCAAGAACTGCTATGTTAAAACAAGTTTATATTTTGTACATATATATGAGATATGTAAGGAAAGAAAGAAATGTCACTGTGTGTTTTTTTTTTTTTTTTTTTTTTTTTTGTAGCAATGAAGTAGTAGAGAAATGTATCTGCATATTGCAGAACTCATGTATAAATGTGCATAGCGTGGAGGGAAAGGATTACATTGCTGCTTTACCTTTTCAGGTATGTGCTTTATTTTATTTTATTTTCCCCAAGCAGAGTCTGTTTTTCTGATTGTACTGGGTTTTGGGTTGGGGAGGCATATATGAGCTCCACTGTCAGTGACTGCATGTGACAAAGCTAATTAAAGTGTGACTTTGTAGTTGGGTGTTAGAATACTCCATAGGCCCATAGCCTAAAGGAAAAGAATGAAAACTCAGTGGTGTTATGTAAAAATGTTTTGTTTTATTGATGTCCAGTACCTTGAAGGTTCTCAAACCTTATAGTGAGGGGTTACAAAGCAAGCTTTTTGATTAAGTAGCAAAAACTTAGAAGCTTGCCCAAAGGATGGACTTGAGAGAATTGGCACATCAAGAATATTCACCTGATTGATTCTGCTGGCTAAGTTATGGGTGGCAACAGGCTGTGAGATGGAGATAATACTGCCTTAAATTACTGAAGTCATTTCTGCATGGTTGCAAGGTCACAGCCTTAGATAAGTCTGTGATAAGCTATTTTCATAGTTTACATTACACTGCTATCAAAAACAGCCTAAACATCTCACTCTGCTGTAAGTAGATATTCAAGCATGCAATGTATTAAACCCTTATTTTTTTTAAATCGTAAGTATGTTTTTCATTTTTTATAGGTGGCAAATGTCTGGCCAACAAAATATGGCTTGCTATTTGAGCGCAGCAGTTCTTCACATGAAATGCCTCCGAGTCCACCCAGGTATGTAGTGAGTTTGGCTGTTTCATTATACACTGCTAATCCAATGTATGAGTGCAAGAGCTGAAGAGTGATAGTGAAAGAATCTGGGTGATTCTCAGGGGCAAATTAACTTAGAAGTTGGGTGAAGCATCATGAACGTGCAGGATAGAGTCCTGGAATTTTGCACCCTCGCAGCAAAGTTCTTCTTCCTCACATGGAGATGGAACTTCCTGTGTTTTATTTGTGCCCATTACACTTGTCCTGTCACTGGCCACCACTGAGAAGAGTTTGGCCCTGTTCTCTTTACATTCTCCCTGCAGGTATTTATACAAATTGATCAGATCCCCTCTCAATCTTCTCTTCTCCAGGCTAAGCAGGCCCAGCTCGCTTAGGCTTTCCTCATAAGATAGAAAACCCCTTTTGCTCCTGCCACCTTCAATGATTGGCTTGATTGCTACCCTGTGTTAGATGAAAAATTATCTCAGGGGTGTCTGCTGGCCTGGAACACTTAGGGAGTTGTGTAACCCAAGCTCTTCAGTCAAGCTGGGGTTAAAAGAGCCTTCTCCTCATCCTACTACTGTACCACCTTTTTCCAGGCCTCAGAGTCATCATAACTCAGCGAGTTCTAGCTCTGTTTGTGTGGGCTAGCCGAGGTCTCATGGGTGGCCAGCAGGTAGGGTCATCCTCAAGGGCTGTGAGGAGACACAAACCAAGACCAAGCCATCCTGATACCACTGTTGGGTGTGCTCAGTAAATCCACAAGCTTCCATTAATGAAATGTATGTCACTGTGTTAGATTTCAGGTTCTGACTTTGTTAAGGTCTGAGGAGCTGCTTTGGAATTGCAGGAGTTGTACCAACTCCAAGAGAGAACTGCGCTTTGTAAAATTTGTTTTCGAATATACTTTCTTCTGTTTAATTCCAGAGAACCTTTGCCTACTATGTTCAGCATGCTACATCCATTAGATGAGGTAACACCTCTTGTCTGCAAGTCTGGAGGTACGTTTGGATGCATCACTTGGAATCCCTCAATATGGCATCAAGTGCTTGATATATCAGACAGCATTTTCTGTATTATGAAATTGGCAAATAATTACTCTTTCAAGAATTTGCTTCTTCGTCTACGAGTAAGAGCAATTGATACTATATATTTTAAGATGCTCAAGAAGTCTAAATAAGAGCAAGTTTATCTCTATGGTACTGTTGCTCCAGAATGTTGCTGGACCTAGAGTTAAAAACTCTAGAAAGCAGGTTGTTCCCTTCATGTCTTCGTGGTGAATATATGGTAGTGCTGCTGAGTCTGTTTTCAAGCTATTCTAAAAGCTCTAAAACCCAACATTTGCTCTTTTGTGTGTTTAACTCTTCAGTGATTTAGATTTGTGGTTAGCTGCTTTTGGCCAGCTGCCTACACAAGCACCTTTATAAAACGTTTTATTTCAGGCAGTGGGAAAGGAGGTTTCACATGCTTTGTGTTCAAACTGAGGTTCTTACCGTCTTCAACCTAGCTGCAGTCCTAGTAAACATAAGATAAAATTTATTTAATCAAATAAACATATATGGATATAGTATCTATATTTCCAGTCTCACTTAATCAAGGAAAATGCTAAGAAATCCAAATTACACAAGAAAGAGGGTATGAAAAATGCCAGCCGTGGATCCTTTTGTCTTAATGAAGTCAGGCTGATCCCTGTGTCTTTATCAGGTGTGTTTGGCTCTGCCAGAGTTCAGTATGTTGCTGATTACACCATGAGGATTGTGTTTCTCAACGCTGAACCTTCCATCATGATGACGTATGATACTGTTCAGAGTTTACACACTGTATGGGCTCTGCGTAGAGTAAAGCCAGAGGTACAAACTTGTCATTGCCTAAACATCCTTAATGAAAACCTTCAGTGTGTTTATATGCCCTGTGCTTATGTCTGTTGAAGTGCCTGATTCTTGTGATTTATTTCATGTAACAGGATGTTAAAATAAGCAGATTGTTTATACGTTTGCCTGTATCACAGTTGGAGGACCAAGTTTCCCAGTCAGCCATTGATACTAAATGCAAGGCTGTAAGTTAAGCAGTGCTGACAGTCACACGGGATGCTCTGCTTATCATGATGTACTTGCATGAAACCAGGTTTGGTTTCTGCTTAAGCAGTCTTCTTTAAGAAGAGCAGTGACAACTTACTGCCTTGCAAACCAGAGAAGTGATTTCTGTAAATGAGAGTGGGAAAACACAGTTGGAAGGAGTAACTGCCTATATATATATATATATATGTATATATGTATAAGGAAATAACTTGAATAATCCCACCTCTTTTTCCATATGCTTCATGGACGCTGTGTGCCAAGACAGTGAGATTGCTCCCTTGCATGGGCTCAGTGAGGAGTCTTAATTTGAAGTAGCCTGAAATTTGAGCAGAGGGTCAAGCAGCTCTAGCAGCAGCTTGGTGTGGAGTATCTGCTCGTTGAAACGAGCTGCTGGAGTGTCTTACTGGCCGTGTTGTTGCTCATATGGGTTTTTTTTGTGCTGTTTTCCCTCCCAGGAGCAGACCACAGTGCTGAAGTTTGCTGAACAGCTGGGCACACCCCAGCACGTGGCCACCAGCAGCTCTCTGACCGCTCATCTCAGGAGCCTCTCCAAAGGTGACTCTCCTGTGGCTTCCCCTTTCCAGAACTACTCGTCTCTTCACAGCCAGAGCAGATCCGTGTCGTCGCCCAGCACGCAGTCCCGCTCGCCATCCATCTCCAACATGGCTGCTTTGAGGTGAGCCCTGAACATTCCCTGGAGACAGAAAATGCCCAAAACAGAAGCTACGCAACAGGCCTTGTATTGCTGTGTTTTCTCTGCTCTTACCATTCTGTTTGTCCGGGTGTATCCATGGGTATCCCATCCCTCTCGGCACGCACACCCAGCTGGAGATGCTCCTGTGAGACGGGTGTGCTGTTATCCCTGCAGTGCCAAAGGGTGACTAGTGTGCAGGAGCCAGGGGGACTGCTCTGTGGTCACACAGCCAGTCAGGAGAGGAATTGGGAATTTTCTGCAGGTTGTTAGAGTCCCCGGAGAGTTTTCAGTTAGTATTATTAAAACAATCCCATCTATTGGATTTGGGTAGAGATGCTTAGCAGTGAATTAGAGAACTGTTTTCCTCTGCTAGGGTGTGTTGCTGAAGAAAGCTAATAATGAACTAGCTGCTTTCTCAGGTTTGGGTGGGACAGTTGGTTTGTTTTCAGATTCTCTGCCACTGTATTAGCTCCCAGGCTTAAGAGGAATTCTGTACGTGCTTTTATTGAACCACTTTTCAGTAATCTTGTATGTCTCTGTTTGCAGCCGCTCGCATTCCCCTGCCCTGGGAGTGCACTCTTTCTCAGGAGTGCAGAGGTTCAACTTTTCCAGTAGTGCTCAGTCACCAAAGAGGCACAGTATTAACCATTCTCCAAACAGCACTTCCAATGATTCCTTCCTCATCCCAGAAACGGAACCAATTGTTCCAGAGCTGTGTATAGATCATCTGTGGAGTCGCAAGCATGAGGTTAGGTGCTTATGTTTGGATTTCAGAGGTTCTGGATTTCCACTGGGGAAATAATTAGATTAAAATGACAGCCTGCTCTGATGTATGCTTTCTGCAAATGCAGCTTTCTTAAAATAGATGGGTGGACTTGAAAGTGCAGGTTTTAAGAAAGCACCTCTCTTTGCTTTGAAAAGGGAATTAGACACTGGCAACGGTCATGCTTGTTGTATTACTCTGGCTCATGGCTCTCCATGTTGGAGAGTGACTTCGTGAGATGCCTCAAGCCAAATATGTTCAAACCTGAATGTTGTTTTGGTTTTATTTTTTTGTAATCTTTTAGATGGAGTGCCTTTTTCTCCATCACTGTCAACAGGGGTGAAACACACCCAAGAGCTTTATCTTATTTCCATCCGAGCTAACATGTATCTCCAGAGCTGTAATAGGTTCCTGTTTCCATTAGATCCAACAGAAGGAGGGGAGAAAGGGAAACACACTATAAATAGGGATTATTCCCCTTTTTCTTTGTGTCTGCTGGAGAAAGCTCATTCTAACTCTTAGAAAATGAAATGCTGCTTGAGGCCAGGGAATGTCACAACTGCCTCTGTGCTAGACTGGCCTTTTTTGGTCTATGTTGGACCATTACTGTAATTTTGTATTTGCTCAAGTTCCTTAACTACTGTCTTATGTCAGCCTGTAGCATCGAATGTGGCATGGCCGGTAGTGGCAAATTGGGCAGCAAACTCTCCTGGTGGCCTGTGCAGATAATGCAGCTTGCAGAGGACATATGACTCTAAAAAATGAGGAAAAATGACTATAGGTCATATTAAGATGACTGTGGGTCGCTTAGGATTTAACTAGACAATCAAACCGTTTAGCATGGTTTGCTAACCCCAAAATGTAGGGAGTGTGAAGAGTGGGATGCTGGAAAACTAGTTTCTAGAGCACTGTCTGAAACACAGTGGCACATTCTAGCCAGTTGATGCCAGGAGTTGCTAATTGAAGCTCAGTGTGGTCCAACAGCTTACTGGACATTGTTTTCCTCTGTTAACACTTTTATAGTGGACCAAATACTCTGCTGATGGCTGTGTCTTAATTTACAGAGAGAAGAATTCCCAAGCATCCAAGGTGTTTATTACCACTGACCTCTGCGGGCAGAAGTTCCTGTGCTTTTTAGTGGAATCCCAGCTCCAGCTGCGGTGAGCATTCCCATGCTTATCCAGGGGACAGCTGGACAAAGGGGAGCACTCTAAAATTACTAGCTAGATTTGGGCTTTAACATGCTAGTGGAATCTATAATGATAGTGGGAGATATCTGACTGTTGTAAGATGTATTTATAACCACATTAGCAATTAGACATCTTGGACTGAAATTGCAAGACAGCATTTGCTGTACTTTGAATGGTATTTCTATTTATCATCAACTTTACCCTCTGGAAGTGCACTGCAGAGTAAAAATAAGTTGATTAGCAGGGCAAAACAAGCAAAGAAGGGAGGAAGTAATGACGTAAACTGCAATAAAGTAACTGCAACATGCAGTACAACTTTAATTTTCTATCTTTTCTCTATAAGACTAGATAAAGTCCTTTTATATATCTCCTCTTGTTTTCTCAAATCTTTAGCTGTGTAAAATTTCAAGAGAGTAACGATAAGTCACAGTTGATCTTTGGTTCTGTCACCAATATTCAAGCAAAGGATGCAGCTCCAGTGCAGGTATGTACACCTGTATGGACTATGTTTGTGGAGTACCTTTCTACTTTGTCACTTTTGTCATCTAATTGTCTCATTTTTACTTAAACACAAGGACCTGAATATGCTGTTTGATTATTACAGGGCATTGATACATTGCTGGTTCTGGAAGGCAGTGGAAATCTAGTGCTTTATTCTGGAGTGGTTCGGGTGAGTAACGGAATATACCCACAATTTTTCTCTCCCAAAATGAATGTTTGAATTTTTGCTTACAAGCTTAGCAGTGCAGCAGGGTGCTGGGTGCATCATATCCCATGAGGTTTCATTTTAAGCTACTGTAGAATGCTTCTCACTTGAGACTTGACTTAGCAAGGTGAACGTGCCATTGTATCAAGTGAAATTTGTGTGCAGTCCTGGAAACATAGTTCTGAAGAATCGTTGGCACCTTGTGGTACAATTAAATAATTCCTTGAGCTTATTTGAAGATAATGAAGGGGGGTTTGTTTTGTTTTTGAAAGGAAAATTTCAAGGACACTGAAAGTAAGATTATCTCCTAAACTAAAAGCTTTCAGGCTTCACTGTAGCAGGCCATAGAGTTTTAGATGTCAAATTTGCTTTATGAAGGGTTGTTATTAAGGTGGGCACAACTAATTCAAAATAACAAAAATAGTTTCCTTTAATTGTGGAGAGATGTGCTGTGCTCTTTGTGTATATACAGAAACCTCAGACCCTGGAATTTCTACTTTTTGTTAGTTTTTATTTACTCTTTGAAAGTAGAGCTTTCTCAGTGAAACCCTGCCTGAACTCTTAGTGATCGTAGGCCTGTAACAGTAATGTGCAATACTGACTTATATTGTACTTTTTCAGTGTGTTGTCATCTTAAGAAGTAAACTGGGAAATCCCTAATCTCAGTTACTAAACTTCAGTTTCAGTATATAGCCACTTTTCTTAAAACATTTCCTTTAAGATATTAAGAACAGAGTCCATATCTGTAAGCAAGCTATTTGAAAAACGCATGAAGACCAACTCTTATCTTTTCCTATATGTTCTACACCAAAAGGTGGGGAAGGTTTTTATTCCTGGACTGCCTGTTCCATCCCTGTCGATGTCCAACCAAATGCCTCGACCAAGCACCCCTTTGGATAGTATCAGCACTCCATCCAAGCCTTTGAGTAAACATCTGGGGCCTTTAGAAGAGGTGAGGAAAGAAAATCCTTTTTGAAAAGCGTTTCATTTTGGGTAACGGCTTTGATGCAACTTGCTAAGGAAGGAGCAGAAGGTATTTTTGTGAATATAGATTTCATGCATATTCCGCTACTCTTATGGAGAGAGATTTGCCTCAATCGTAGTGGAAATTTTAATTTTAATGCTGCATATCCACCATCTCCATCCACGGCTACAAAGCCCCTTGCTCCTCTGCACT